GTGTCGAAATAAAACTCGTCAAATTGCTTCCGTCCTGATTTTGAGAACCTTCCGTCTGATATGTAATTTAGTCGAATTACAAGACAACAGCAAATGCTTCCTTTCGTAGATCCACTTCTCCACAGCAAAGGCCCGCACACTCCTCGCCCCTGCCCCCCCCCCCCCCCCCAATTGCCCCCAGTTCAGAAAAGATGTTACTTTTTTGTTTAATTACGTTTATATAATATTCATATTTGTTCGTTTATGGAATGTAAAGAAGGCTGCCTTAGACATACGGGCATATTTTTCCAAGGGGCTTGCAATGACTCCCCCTGCCCGACTACCATATTGTGTCTTATTTTTAGTTGCGAGTGAGCGAAGTGGGAGAGCAAACAAGAACATGTATATAATGATAAATTTACTAGTCTAGATATGATATAAAGTTTAAATATCCGGGCACCTTGTTGCAAGAATATGAGGATATTCGGGAATACTGTTGCTATGAATTATCCTGTTTCTAACTTTTCGCGATTTTCCAATACGATTTGTTACCGACGAACTCCATAATATTACATTTCAGATAATCTGTACGCATTAGCCCCATTCTTTGTAATCAAAGAATGGGGTTAGAGCTACAAAGCTCAATTTTTAATTTCAGCCTTACTCCACATAATAAAAAATCATATACCATATCATGACAAATTATATACAGTGGAACCTGTCCACAAAGGTCACCCAAGGGAATCAGACAGAGTGGTCATTGTAGATAGGTGGCCTTTCCAGACAGATGACCACTAATACAGGTTTGAGTGTTCATACAATAACATACAAATTTGTCTTTGACGAATTTAAAGAACAAAGGGAAATGCGAAAGGGGTAGTCAGAATTTAAAAAAATAATGATTGTGCCATATTCTTTTGTAATATAACAGCGGAAAATTTGGCAAGTTGTTTCAAACATCCGTTTTCTTAAATTTCACCATCTTGTACAGTTGTAATTGAGGGCTACCGGTAGCTAGACAAGTTCATTTATGTAAAGTTTATGCTCTTGGCTCTTGGCTGTACGATTCAGTACCAGTAACTGAATATTTATACTGTTTTTAGCCTCAGGATAAACAATAGATTTCTTCATTATAACGTAATTCACAAATCCACACACCATGTAATAATAGCAATTGCCCTGGAAATGATAATAAACAGGCCTATTTCTGAAGGCCTGAATGATTATTAGCTTATTTAAGCTTTTTGTGTTTTGGTTTTGACAGGTGTTATTTCTAATGATATAGAAGACGTAAAATGAAAGACAAATAAGGGTGATTGGATGGCTTGGACCTACTTCTCGATGTACATGTGGGTGTGTAATGAATTTTTAACGTGATGATATAACCTCTGATTATTCGCTAATTGGAGGTCAATTCCTCCGCATTTATTTGTCTCTAGACCGTCTGTGGTTTTTTAATCATACTTCTTTGAAATCGAGGTATAGGGATGCTTCTTTACGTGCGCCCTTGTACCGCCTTGCGATATTATGTTGTTTTTCGATTTTCGATCGAGGACGAAGTCATTAATCTCCTCACCTGCGATCCGACAGAGTTGTTCGATATCGAATAGGGGATGGTACTGGAGGTCGTTTCCATCTCGTGTCCGAGAGGCGAGGCATCGAACGGTTTGAGACGGTCTGATCAAATGTTCAAATAGAATCATCTCGCTTGTCAAACAGGATTTGTAGCGTACAAAGAGAGACTCCCCATCAGTTTTGAGGAGGATGTGAGCAAGGAAGGAGAGGGAGAGACAAGAAAACAGAAGAAAGAGGGAGAGAGAGAGGGAGAAAGAGAGAGAGAGAGAGAGAGAGAGAGAGAGAGAGAGAGAAATTGAGGATGGAGTAAGGGGGAAAAGTGCAAAAGAGTGCTTGACGTCTGTTCAAGAGAAAGAGAGAAAGAAAGATATATAGAGAGATAAAAAGAGACATTTCCATTTCTCTCTCTCCCCCTCTTTCTCTCTCTCTCTCTCTCTCTCTCTCTCTCTTTCTCTCATTCCTTCCTCCTTTCTCTGTAATTCTCATTCTTTCTCTCATCCCCTCTCTCTACCTACCTATCTACCTCTCAATCCCTTGCACTCACTGCGAAAGACTGAGTAATTAAAAAATATGTAGAGAAAGGGAGACAAATTATTAATATAGATAAAATGGCAATGTTAACGTACGGCTTTTAAAACTCGATCTGTGTTCATACTAACTGAATTTCGAGAGAGGGAGGGAGGGGGTTAAAATTTACTCTACAGATAACGTTTGAAAAAATGAGAGAACTAGAACGAGGGACGTAATCAGAGAGATTTGTTGGGGGCGTAAGACGTGAGAATTCAAGAATGGCTTGTTTGGAAGAGGAGCTGGGAAACTGAGAACAGAAAGGGAATTCTGGTTTAGTTAAAAGCCCTGTCATATATTACTAAGCTCTAGAGATTGTGGTTTCCCTTTTAATTTGTTTTCCCTATTCTATAATAATCATTACTCTTATTACATAGTAATTGGTTTTGGTATTGCATTATAACTTATAAGTAAGAGGACTGAATTGGTATAAGATTAGCATCGGCAGAAGCATAAATGTACACCGGACTTTGTGTTCTCGTCCTGCCCTCACCAATTCACAAATGTATACACTATGGACTTTTTGAGACCCCTTTTTTCAACAGATTGTTCGGACCCCCCCCCCCCCTCCCGAGACTCTCCTGGATCCACTTTAAATTAATTAGTTGAATGAATATGAGTTGAACGACTATATATAATTAATTTGTTAATAAATAGATACCTCTCGTTATGTTTTTATATCCTTTTGGTTGTTATTTTGAATACAAATATACATCAAACAATTATTTTTAGTTTTATTTATGTAGTTTATTACCCTCGTGGAAAGTGGCATTCGCATGGATTTCCAAAAAATCCTTATTAAAAAGAAAAAAAAATCAATCTCTTAATGCTTTTTATCGCTAACAAACAGGGAGGGAGATGTAATTTCAATAAAGTTATCCTCCTGGATCGAATTATCGTCCCGGTTGCATTCATATTATACAGTTTACAAGCTTAGGAAGCGGGTATGCGGTCTCCGTAGCATCCCTCTGTGATATTCAAGTGATTATCATTAAAATGGTCCAGAGATTTCTCTCTCCCTCTCTTTCCCTCTCTCTCTCCAACCAACCTCTCTCTCTCTCTCTCTCGCGCTCCCTCTCTCTCTCTCTCTCTCCCCCCCTCTCTCTCTCTCTCTCTCCTCTCTCTCTCTCGCCATCCTCTCCGACTCCCTTACACAATCCATTCTCACTCAGTTACTTTCTACCCAACTCCCTTTCATTTTCTTCCTTAATTCGCCTCCCATTGAATGCCATGGGTGTTCTAAAGTTCATATCAATGTAGGAGACGTAAACGACTTGTTTTTCTTATGTGTGACGTATCCCCCCCCCCCCCCAAAAAAAAAAAAAAAACGATTTATAACCCTTTTTTTAAATAAAATCTCCTTTATCACTACATATCTCTATCTCTATCTCTGTTTGTGCTGTTTCTAGAGTACAGTAGAGTATCTAGAGAAGATATGAATATATCATTTTTCTAAAGTATTCTGTTGTTTGATCTTTACAACAACAAAAAACAATAATCAATACATCGCTTATTACTCTCTCCCTCTCTCTCTCTCTGTCTGTCTTTCTATCCGGGGCCTGGAATGAGAGAGTGTGTGTGGATGGGTTTGTGTGTGCGTGTGTGATTGTACGTAATTTATGACATGATAAACTGCTACTATAATCCAATTGACGAAAATTCGATATTTTACTGTTTAAATCAACCAAACAGACAGGAGTATTGTTAACAATGGTGTGAAAATATCGAATGAAGTCGGAAAAAAAACAAGCCTCAGTTCCAGGAGGCCCTACTCCCCACCCCCCCCCCCCCCCCTCCCCACCCGCTCCCGTTTTTATCACATTCGTCCCTTTTGTTTTCTTCGCTAGAGATATTATTCCAGACTAATATTATTAAAGGCTGATTCCCCAGGCCTTCCAACGAGGAGGACGATATCTTTTGGTTTGCTTTGTCTTGTACACGATTGCAAAGACTTGCACTTGCATTGTGAAAGAAACGGTGTGAAATCGATTAGAAAAGGTTGATCATCTAGCATATAAGTATTGGTGCACTGCAATGTTCTGAAATCATCAAAGTGATAAGAAATTCGGCCCAGTCTTGGGAAAGCTACAACCCCTGTACACAGAAAGATGTATATGGGACTACACGAACATGCGGCAGAAAATCCGTCCCGATTTTTATGATGTTAAATGCCATATTTAAAATATTAAGGAATTTGAAGAGCCATTCTTTTCAGGGAACGTGTTTTATCTGATGTTTTTCCTCACTCGCATAATACAATGATAACACTCACAATTTTGGTTCACCTCTTCCCAGAACTCAACTTTAAAAAGATCAACCAACGTTAATTTCAATAGCTATGTACTCATCACTTTTCTCAAACGAGCGAACATGGCAAAGGAATATTACGCAATCCAAATATGAATTCTATAGGTTTACAATATGGAATTGAAAGTGGCCTCGAATTGATTTATTAAGCATTTTTTGTCGCTGAAGTCTTTGATTTTGTCCTTTTCCTTTCTGCTTTCAATTTTCGAATACCTTTGATACACAAACAACCCCCTCAGCGCCAAACCCCTCCACCTCCCCCCCCCCCCCCGCCCCCTCCTACATGTAAGTAAAAAAATCGAGATTGGCCACTACAGATGACAGCAAAATCTAATGATTTTTTTCTCTCTCTCTCTCTCTTATCATCAAGCGAGGTTTTTATTCCCATAATTTCAATGCATATTTACACTAATTACTCAATGATTGAGTGAAACATAACAGGCACAAATTTCAAGTATATTCAACAATTCTTCCAGCTTAGTATACTTTTCTTAACATTTTTAAGGCAAAACCTAATGATATTATATGATATGCACCACTTAATTTTCTCTGTTCTTTCTTCAAATTCACAGGTCAGCGCCCAATCAACATGTATCACCTTAACAGCCATGAGTGTAGATCGATACCAAGCAATCGTGTATCCCTTGAAATCATTACGTAATAGGACACCGCAGATAGCCCTAGTGGTCAGCGTTGGTATATGGACGTGTAAGTATATATGCGTGTCCGAATAAGTTTACAAGTCCTCACAGCCATCGCCTTAAACAGCCACCATCCTAAGGCTTCAGTCCGCGAGACCGAGGGCTTACGAGTGCGACGTACAGTCATTGTGGCGGCATAATATTGTAGGTCTCATTTTTGAAGGTTTACTAGACCGACGGTACACGCAATCGACATTGACGATCTCATGGGACCCGTTTCACAAAGCCTTTTTCAATGACAAATGACAAAAATCAGTGACAAATCTGTTGATAACCAATCAAAAGCAAGGATTTCGGCAGCTTATACTGTCATTTGTCACTGATGACAAGTTTTGTGAAACGGGTCCCTGGGCTTTCACACAGCTTTTTAAGGGTTCACTAAACGGACATTGTTTTTAAATTAGTCACACTTTATTCAGAACTAAGCTTCACGCCAAAGTGATAAAAGAACACAATATCCTCTTTTACCACAGAACTTAGTTTTAGTGATATAGCATATTTTGGAATTGAACTCAATTTCTGCTACAGTTCAATTATCTCGTCTTTCTCTTCTTTTATTTCCTTGTTTCAACTTATCAAAAGCATGTAAGTTCATGTAATAGAGGATACTGGTCGTAGACAATGTAGGAGTACATTTCTGTATCAAACAGCAATTTGTATTGATTTTTTCAAGAGCTACACGTATCACGTGTATGTAATACCATCCTAAAATCCTGCTCTTTGGGGGATAAATTTTCCGAGCTATCAAATGATGCCACCAAAAATAATCGCTTATTACTCTCTCGCAGCTGGCCTGGACAAAAAGTTGATGCGTTTCACTGGAGGGCTCTTAACAACAACCGTATAGCCTCTAGCGCCGGCTCTCTCTTCTTAGTCTGCATGCACAGACTCTGAATCCACACTTAAAATACAATTCAATACAGTCTTGAGCCTAAACTTGTCAGTTCCTGAATGTGCTATAATACATGGCTTATGGAATGCACATGGTCCGCCTCACAACCGGGAGGTCGTGGGTTCGAACCCCGGCCGCGTCATACCAAAAGACGTAAAAAGACGGGAGATGCTGCTACCTTGTTTGGCGTTCAACAATAAGGGATAGAGCAACGTCGATCTGGCGCTGCTCAGTAGCTGCCGGGCTCACGATCAATTGTGGCAAAAAGAATTTCCATTTTCGGTTTAACTTAATAAATTTTGGAATGGACTTTAAAATATCATTATTATTGTAGCTCAGACCCTTTGTAAAGTCTGGTTCAGATCTAATTATGCAACGGTAAACCATGCATGGCGGTTTGTTTCATGATGACGTAAAGCGTAATATACTTCACATCTTATCAAACGGCTCACTGAATACGCATAGGACCTTTTTTGCGCGAAGCTGCCGTTAAATAATGTACTTTTTTTTATCGCGGCGGTTGACTGCGTCATATCTGGGGTGTGTTTCACAAAGATTCTAAGTTGAACTAATCTCTAAGTTGGACTTAACAATTATGGAAAGCCATTGGCATCTATGAAAATATTTTGTAAAGTTAGTTTTAGAAGGCATAAAATGTTGATTCAAATCAACCATATTTTTTTTATTATCAAGGAGATTTCATGTTCATTTATAAAAAGTCTAAAATATTGAATTTTCGCTTTTGACTATATCTTATTTTAAGGCTACGAATGGCTCTCCATAGTGTTTAAGTTTTACTTAGAGTTAAGTTCGACTTAGGATCTTTGTGAAACAACCCCTGATCGAGCCTTTCGGCTTTATGACTGACGAGGGTTTGTGCATGCAAACTACTCTGCGCTAACCCTATTTCACTCAAAATCTCATTTTCGCTTTACAACTGGAGAGCAAATCGATTGTCGTCTAAGTCAGGTGAAATTGATCCCGGACTGACCGGGTTCGTGTAACGACTGGGTAGACGGAAGGGACTTGACGGGAAATCAATAGCCTCAGATGCTGCTACTTCAACCGTCGGGCTCTTAATCTCCTCAAAGACTCGATGACTTGACTATAACGTTCTCGTTTTATTGTCAAGGGTCGGTTGTTCCCTCTTGGATTGTTTTACGCGATAATGCTATGAGATGGTGTTGGATATGGGGGTGAGGGGCGTGCGCCCCCCCCCCCGCCATTGAAGAAGAAGATATAAGAATGAGTGTAAATCAATGTAAAGAGAAGAGGATACGACACCTTCCAAAGCCCTCCCTATATTCGAAATCCATATCCTCTCGCATGTTATGCACCTTATAATACAGGTGCCCCCTCCCCATGATACCAGTACCCCTCCCCCTTCTAAATGCCCGGACATAGGTTTTACCACTGTGTAAAGGCGACAATAAAGGGCATGTAAAGGAAGTTCTTTTAAAGAGAAATTATTCTACTTCTACCCACATACTCTTAAAGGAATCTTAAAGATCAGAAAGTTCGGATAAATGCCATGTCCATACATCCATTCCCAATTACTTTATCGCGAGACAATGGCGAAACAGTGCGGTTGACGCCCCCGCCCCTCCCTATCCCATTACTAAATTACCCCCGCCCCCTCCCTATCAGCTAAGAGACGAAAGACCCTTAAGTAATAGATGTCAGTCTACCCTCTATAGTCATGTTTTCTAGATTATTATTTCATGTTCACGTTATACTTACGGGTTTCCTCGAGACAAATAACGATGGCGTTCACTTTAATGCTTCTGTGCCTTTCCTTTTCATGCTAAAACTATTTTGTTTCATACTCAGCCTAACACAGCCTGAACTAAACTTTATTATTTTCTTTTTATGTTATCATCCTTAGGCTCAGCATTACTAGCCATCCCGGTTGCGGTGTATTTCGACGCTGTCCAAAACACGGATGGCCAAGTGACGCGTTGCGAAGAGGTCTGGCCAAACAAGATGATGTTCCCTGGCTACGCGATCTACACTTTCCTCCTCGTGTACGCCATTCCGTTAAGCATAATCAGTGTGTGCTACACCATTGTGCTGCTTCGCCTTTGGAAACAGATACAACCCTGTGAGGAAACGCGCTCCAGCTCGCAGACGCGCTTCTTGAACCAAAAACGACGCATCACGCGCATGGTCCTCGCCGTCATCATCGCGTTCGCCGTATGCTGGTTACCGCTGCACATCATCAATCTTTGGCAGCGACTAGATAAGAACTTCCCCAAAAACGAACTCACGCTCGCATTGCAGACGACTGCGTACTGCATGGCGTACGCAAATTCCTGCGTGAATCCCTTCGTTTACGCATTCGTTGGAGGACGCTTCAGGGAGCGCGTAAGGAAAGCGTTTCCTGCTTTGTCGAGCAGAAAGCGATCCCAAACAGACGCCCTCATTTTAGAGAACATTGGTAAACATGACGAGATACATGATGAACAGAGGCATAGTCTTATTACATCGAATGTAACACAAAGAGAAGCAGTATAATAAACAATCGGAACATTAATTTACCATGAACATTCTATGAATTATAAATGTTTACAGTTATATATAATCATTCAAAATATTTCATGTTTAATATTATTGATGCAATACTGTTTTATGTTTTGATCACTATCATGTTCACATTGATCTAACTTTTTTATATTGATTATGTTAATCTCATTTTACAGCTCATCAAAGAAAATGTAGAATTGTAAAATGTCCCCTTAAAAATGTGCTTTGTAGTGGTTAGTGATCTTCTTAACAGAGAATTAAATTTTGGTTGAATTTGGCTTTTATAAAAGCGAAAAAGTAAAGAAACAAAGTATTAGAAAGAGTCATTGTCTTAAGTTTTAAAGATAAAGGTGAGTTCTGGTTTTAAAAAAAAGAAGAAAATGAATTCTCACAGAATCAAACGAAACTTACACTGAATGTTCAAGATTACAAATAAATGTCATTTGCCGAACAATTTTGGTAGAAAGTGTATACTAGCTGAGTAATGAGCATAAAAAGATAAGGAAATCAAGGTTAGTAGCCCCGACACCATTTGTGTAGTCCCATTTAAATCTTACTCACATTTATTTTTATGGTGGAATATATAGACATTACAATGTCTGTTCTAATTTTTACCATTATAATAGACAAATAGGATGCTTCGAACACCAAACGGGAGAGGTCCACGTGGACACCATAATATCAAAAATTTGACTGTATTGCCAATGGGTGATACTCCATTGGAGTAATGACGGTACATTTCAGAATTAATAATTTATTTTTCACAATTCTTTGTCCAATTTTCTCAAACTGTCGAAGTGTGTTCTTTGCAATTTCTGATTCTACTCAGGCGCGTACGCAGGGGGGGGGGGGGGTTGACCCCCCCCCCCTTAAACTTTTTTTTATGTGTGTGCTTTGGAGAAAAGAAAACAAATTGTGGTAATGGATGACCCAAAAAGCTGACCTTACCCCCCCCCCCCCCCCCCCCACCCTTGAAGAAAAAAATCCTGCGTACGCGCCTGATTCTACTTATGCCAACTTTCTATGAAGTATTGATTCCCAATATTTCTGGGACTGCTATTTTCCCAGGTGAACATATTTGATTTCATACAAGCGCGTCCTGGATGTCATTATACCCTGAACAACATGGATGATGCATGTGTGCAACAATCGTATCAACTGTTCTCGCTTTACAATGGCTCACGGCTAAAGTGTCAAATTTAAACAAATATTGATTTGACTGAAACAGGTACCCAGGCAAAGATCTGGCAGAGCACAATTTGGAAGTAGGCACACGGGACACTGCTTCCAGTATTCTCATCATTTTAGAAGTTCACATGAACTCGGATTCGTGTTGTTTGATAACCCCCAGTAACGCCGCCGAGACCGATACCACACCGACATGAGACCGAACATGATATTACATTACCTCTACAAATGGATATGAGTCAGGGGCGGATCTAGGGGGAGGGGGGTTTCGGCGGTTTAACCCCCCCCCCCCCCCCTTGGCAAAAAGCTAGATCCGCCCCTGTGAGTCGGTGGTTAGAGCCATGCACTTTGGAGTCGGTCTAAGACGTGACTAAGATTTAAAATGTAAAATAGAAAGCCGGATATGAAACAAAGGTGTCATTTTGTCAACTGTTGGATCTGTAGGATATCTTAGACTAGACGTGCATTGCTACACAGTACTTTTCCCCACAAACCAGTCAGACTTCGGTTGACTTTGGAAAATTTTCCTCATGCCATTTGCTCACACGGCCACACATGAACGATAAGGGCGCTATTTTCACTGTGTGTTATTCGCTGTTTTCCGAGGACATGCCTGTACTGGGTTTTCCGAAGTTGTATCTGACTGCTAACCTAATTCTTAAATTCAACCCTCGACCAATGCAAACAGTATACCAAAACCTAATGGTACACCTAATTCTTTGCTGAAACCAAACCCATTTAAAACCCTCACCATAACTCTATACCCTTGACGAACAAGCTCGGTACTATTGTCGCTGGAGCAGATGTCAGATCACCCTTGAGGTACCAGAAACCTTTAGAACGATTAAGGAGCATTATAGGAACAATAATCATGATACTGGCAAATGACGAGGAAGTACCAAAGGAAAGGATACGCTAAACATGGTTGCTCTTCTTTTTCGTCAAATTCTTTTTTTTTTAGTGTAAAGAACTGACAGTGATTTAAAGGAAAAATAACTACGGTGTCATCTTAAACAGACGATACCTGACAGACGTACAGACATGACTTCAGACTAAACTAACTTTTTGAAAATAGTCCACCAAACTTATATCCTCTCTTCTTTGGTCAGATCGTTTTTCATTTTATTTCATATGAGCCAACATATATCAGACTGTGACGCTGAGTTGCCTGATTCAGGTTTTGGTTTATTCGTTGCCAGGAGTAGAGTCGATTAGCTGTTTTCCCCTTCTATGACCTCACTACGGTAAACGAACAAGAATGTTTTGGGAACAGCAGTTTTACATCTTACCAATCTTGACGAGACAATTTTAACAGTCTTAGGTCGACAACGACGACGACGACGACGACTTGAACATTCACAGAGATGACATGTACTGATTAAGTTCACGAAGACAACAACGATGATTTGTTTTACGCGACATACCAGGATGGCTAAAGCCCAGTTGACAGACGCCCTTGGTAATGACAGTCCGTGGGACCGACAGAACCGTTTTCAGAGACCTTCTGAAAAGTTAGCTAAATTATCATGAGACTAATGATCCTCGAGGCCTGTAGCCCAGGAGACCGACATGTCATTCTTTGGGGATATGATTGAGTAGTGAAGGACAGTAATCAAATTGAAACGACTGTGCAACGGTCGTTTATACCCATACCTGACGAAAAGTAGTTTACCAAACAATATATAAGGACCGAACTGAGCAAAAGACAGACTAACAACTTCAAGACACGGAATTATCATAGAATGATGCAATAAACAACTTTGACATGAGCGAGTTTTGGACAATGTATAATCTAGACGACGGAAATTATTATTGTGAAATGGAAACTGAACGTCTCAGGTCGACTACCCTTGGCATGTCATTCCTGAACAACTAACCTACGGACAACTACCTCCTACGACAAGTAATTCCTGGAGAAAATAAAAATTCCCCACGGATAATTACCCCTGGACAACCATCCTGTGAAGACGACTCCTTTGGCAAGACTACTCCCCCTATAAAAAAGGGTGAAAATTATTAGACAGCTATCTCTAGGACAACTACTATCGGACAGTTAATCCAAGACACCTATACTGTTTCAAGAATTAGGCCAATCTCAATTAACTTAAGACAATCACTAAACATAAATTACCGTAAGCAATTATTATATTGGCACTGTCGAAGGTAGTATAGTACCCATCCATTTCGAAAACCTTTGGGGGGGGAGGATGAGACCTTTTTTAATACTGACCAACGACAAAACTAAGAATAACAAATTCGGTTTCAAAAGTTCCAATCCTTACTCAAGACGTCATGAATGACTGACTGCTACTATACTGACGTATAGATTTATCGCCAGATATAAATTAGGATCGACCATGATAGTTACACGCCGCAAAGTTGGACAGTTGGACTTTTTAAAATAGCTTTTACAGTGCATTTAAATGAATTGATATTGCAGATGCTGTCTCTTGAAATCATAGGAGATGTTGACATTCCAAGTTTTTCCAGGTTCCCCACTAAAAAGTCTATTCTGTAATTTTCCATATCTTTTATTATTGACCCTATTTTGTTTGGTTTTAGGCAGACAATGTTATTTGAAAAAAAGGAGGTTACGACAAACTATCATAACTACCTACCCTGAACTCGACCGTTACCTGACAACTGCATTACATAAATTATGATGTATACCTTGGTAGTACGTGTGTCTGTTCTTGTGTGGGAATGTTAACGCTTTTGATTGGTTAATTTCCTAATGCATGCAATAACGCACCACGTCGGTCTCGTTAGTTTCAGTCTGCGTGCGAATGGTGCGTTTATGGCACTAATGGCCAACCATACAACACGGAGTGACTTATGGACTTAATAAATGTAGGAATGTCTGCATGATATATTGAAAGTGCTGGGACCTGTTTCATAACAATTCTTATCAATAACAAATGCTAAGTATCTATGACAAATTTCCTTTCAGCTAATTAAATGCCACGATTCAAGTAGCTTATAAGAGTTATTGTAACTTGTTAAAGCATACATTGAAAACGGTGTGCGTCTGCATATTTGCAAGAAAACCTCTGAATTGATACCAAATAAAATATATCTGTTTATAGTAAAGAGCGTGTACATATAAATCATGGCCAGGATGGTACTTTGACTAATTATTTGAAACCCGACTTCTCAGTGTTATTTTGTCATACTAATGTTTCCGAGTCCACTATGCAGAGCTTGATACTACATGACTAACAAAAATATGTTCGCTTGTCAAAGTTCTACGGACTTGCACAACGCCCCCCCCCCCCTCACCTACCCGCCCGCGCGTCTTCGTTTTACGCTAATTTTTTAAAATCATTTATACTTCACACTGTACAATATATCCCACTTTGACTTATTATTTGCCTCGTAGAATACTTTGCTGTTCCTGAATTTTTAGTAAACGCTAATAACAAGCCGTGTATTCTGCTAATTGTGAATATTAAGTGCTGCTTATGATATTTTCACATCAGGGTATATGAATCGTGTATACAATTTGACAAAATTGAATGAATATGTATGATTTTTTTTTTGTCCACTGTGCATTGGCTCACGTTAGGCCGAAATGCGATACTGGTAATAATGATCCGGTACAGTTCATGAATATGATACTGTTGATTTGTAGAACATATTATTTGGTTTAGAAGTACGATCGCAAAGATTTTCAAGAATTTCTAAACCCTACTGTGTTGCCAATATAAATCATGTTCTGGTTATGTAACATGACATGGTAATGTTCACACATTTACAAAGGGCGACGTATCAGGCTATAATATTTGTAAGTAGATTTTTCTTTTCTTTTTTAGTCTTTGCGATCATGTTAAAGTTTTGTCTTGATGTAAACTTTTTTTTGGAATAATTTAATTAGCTTGGTTTCGTAATTTAATTGTCCTGTTCATTTCGCTTTCTTTGATAAATTTGTCATTTTGTTCGTAATACTGCACCACTTTTCAGTTATCTTATACTTAGGAGTTCCGTGCGAGTGAGGGTGCGTATAGTGCACAAATCGCTTGTGCCTCCGTTTTGGAAAAATTCTTAACTCTTGATTTTACTCATCAGAAGCAAAATTTAAAGCTGAACATTCTATTATAGAATTAGTATTCCGTAACCAAAACATTCAGAGCAAAATAAAAAAATTAGTGAT